TTGAACTTTTAAATGATGGTATTTCAAATCACTCTGTGACAAAAGCACACTAAAGTAAATGTTAAAGACACATCGATTATAATTCACATCTTCAGAATAATGGAAATATTTAATGATTGGTTTCAGTTCTTTCTTCTAACCTCTGAATTTATGATATTTGGTAAATGAGGAGTTCTGAGAGTCTTAGAGTTTTCATGCATTTTAAATATATTTCTTCAAATATATGAGAACAGAATTGAACCAAAAGTGTGGTTCATAATTCTTAATCAGTGAGTTATTACTCAGAGACATAGATGGTATGTTCCTGACTTTTTGAAGAATGCTCCAAAATCTGGTTGTCAGTTGCCTGTATTTCTTAATCTGCCAATTCTGTCATTTGGAGTTATACAGTGGTTATGACACACCAAAGTGTACAGAATTATAGTTCATTATTAAATTGCCTTCCAAACTGAAAAAATTAAAAATCCTGGAATTGTCTAAAGGAACACATAATAGAGTTCATATATTAATTTCTAGGAAATGTATAAAGATACTGTGGTCTTATTTCAGTTCGTCTTTATTTTACTATATGATATACACTTATGACTTGCAAGTTTGTTATTCAACTGGATAATAAAAGGACACAAAATTCATGTTCTCACTAAGCATTTTTTTGTCAAATGTATGTTAAAAACTGATTTAAATGTATATTAGCAATTTCACTAGTTTCAGAAATCTGTAAGTTCCTTATACTTCTTTAAAAAGCCTACAAATATGTGATGTAAGGGGAGCCAAACACACCTGGAAGCTAGAAACCACTTCTTGGAATTCTTGATAAAGTCTCAGTCTCATGTTCCTCATCTGTAAAGTGAGCTAAATCTACTTTACTGGGTTATTGTAAGAATTATGTTGTGAGAGGACTTGTAAAAAGAATCATTAGCCATATGTAAAGAATCATTAATCTCCTAATCAGAGATCCCCATAGCTTCTGGATGATTTTTATCTTCCTTCAGAGGGAATTAACTTTTGCATCGAGCAGATAGCATATAATGGCAGGGGAAGCTCACCTTAGTCCTAGCAGGGATTAAGCCAACTTGAAGCTGCGTTTCAGTCTTTGTGAGGGCTGGTTTATTTCCAGTTCACCTCTACTCTGACGGTGCAGCCCTTTAGGGATCTCAAAGGAAAGCTACATGTGTGTACCAGGGCTTCTCCTTGGGGACCCTGGACTCCTACTTTTCTTTACTCTCATTCCACCCCACCTCCCGACACCATAAAATTGCTAAAAGTACTGTTCAGTTTCTCAGCTTCTCAGCTGCTGCTTTCAGCCCAGTTTCTTAGCCTCCAAGTCACTGCTTGCTAATTAGCAAATGCTTCAAGCAGAAAAGTAGTGCCAAATATAATCTCTCAGCGTTTAGATCTTGGCCCTCCAAGTTCTGGCTGCTTTGATAGCTCTCCGATGACTTGAAACAGATTTTAAAAATATTTTCCCCCAGTTTTTCTAATTGTTTTTGGTGAGAGAACTGGTCTGTAGCTAGCTAATCTGCCTTTATTTAAAGTGGAAATCTGACCTTGGAGTAACTCATTTAACTTCTTTGAGCCTCAGTTTTCTCATCTATAAAATAACGATTCCAACAATACTTATCATACCAGTAATATTGAGAGGATCAAATAAGATCACCTAAAAGAAAAAATTTCCTAACCTGTATAGTATAGACAGATACTCTGTATACTTGAAATACTTTATATTTTCCTCTTATGGGGAGACAAATCACCTGAAAGTGATACCAATTTAAATCTAGCTCCATTCAAGAACTGCAACTCAACCAAGCTGCTAATGGGAAGAGCTAGTCAGTGGTACGTACATAGGTGAAATCGTAGCTGCATTTCAACACATCTCAACACTTCCAAGGAATTGTATTATGGGATATAACATAATAATATAACTGTAAGTTAAAGTTACAGTTAATATAAATTGATGAATGTATATTCAAGGGATGAAATTGGGAAAAAACTGTATCCTTCCAGACCCTCTCTCTATGAAAACTGACTCTGGGTAGTTCCTTCTTGCCCCTTTGGATGAAATCTCAGGTCCCTGTCTTGAATTTTCTGCTCACTCTAAGTCCTTAGCTTCTAATCTCCCTCTCCACCCCCCACCCCATTTCAGTATTTTCAAATTCCAGTGTTCTGTAAAAGTTCAAAACATTAGAGTTTAAGGTTAAAGTTTTTCTTCTTCTCTAGAACTGAGAAAGGAAGAGGTGTGCTTTGTGTCTTTATTTTCTTGCTCCTTTTTTCTTACTCACAAGGATGCCTCTGGCTTCGCCAGGGTTTGGGAATGGTGGTGGGGAGGAGAGGTAAGGAGTAGGAAATTCTTTCTGGTCTGATACTGTTGTGAGTTGGCATATGTGCTTTCTGTACTTGGTAAGTAATTAATGCTGACTCATTCTCTGTGGGTGTTTTGAAACACCTTCCCGCTTCTTATTTCTTGGGATCTCTTGATGTGGGTAAACATACCTCTCTGACTGGGCTGTTGAATTCATCTCGCTCAGCCTCTAGGAATCTAGTAGTCAACTCTCCTGTGGGTGTCCCTTCAGCTCTCCAGAAATTCCCTTGGACTGGGTCTAAAACTGTCCCCTGGCCAATTTGCTCATGCTTGGGAAACACTCACATGGGACATACTCAGACATTCTTTGTCTTAAAAAAGACATAAAAGACCTCTGGGCATGAAAGACCTCTCCAAAGCATCAATCTCTTTGCTGAACTCTCAGAGCAGTTATCTGGCCACAGGCCATTGGACGTTTCTCAGCACGAACTGGACAGCAACCTGCCCGGCCCCAATCTGGAGGGATACATGCCAAGCTCTCTTAGTGGCCCTGCTGACGCATGCCTTTCCTTAGACACGAGATGGGCAAGACTCACAGCACATTGATAACTACCGCCACACATCCTATCAGAATTCTCTCTCAGCCTCTCCAACCACTTTCATAGCCTGGGAGCCATACACTGATTTCTAGACACCTCATTCACAGGTTCTGCTTTGGTGGTTTTGTACCTCACTTTATTATGTGGGAGGTATTGGCACTTAATACCTTAGGGTCTTAGCCAAAATGGAGATGGGAAGGGTCCCATTTTTACACTATCACACATGCTTAAAAGGAATGGTCAGGCAAGAGGGATGAGATATGGGAACATATGTATATGTATAACTGATTCACTTTGTTATAAAGCAGAAACTAACACACCATTGTAAAGCAATTATACTCCAATAAAGATGTAAAAAAAAATGGTCAGAATAAAAAAGGCCACTCATAAAACAGTCAGCAAACAGTATAGTTTTTGCACATCAAGTTCTCTTGAGAATGAAGAGCTGCTTTGCCTTTCTAAAGTTTGCATGTTTATTAGCATGGTCCTCCCTGTTCTCAAGATGCCACAGGCTGGAGAGGTAAAGGTGAGGTGCTGCCCTTAAGTGGTCTTAAGGCAGAAACACCAAGGAGTGGGTGGAGTGGAAGAATGGGAAGGACTGTAAGAGCTCAGGGAGACACTTCTCAGGGCCTCCAGGCATAAACGGTGATGAGTACTGGAGGCTTGTGTCAGTAGAAGGGTCAAGAACTACTGAATATGGATTATCTTCTTTAATGTGACCCCATTTGTACCCACAGATAATGTGTGGCTTGGAAAATGTGGGTTATGTACAAAAAGTACAAAAAAGAAAATAAAAATGACCTGTAATCCACCACCCAGCGTGTGCGTGTGTGTGTAAAATTGGTATAATATTTACTTTAATGACATATCATGAATATTTCCCTTATTTATTATCTTCCAGAACATGTTTTTAATGGCAGCCTAGTATTCAATTGCATGGCTATATAATTTAATCAATCTGATTTTGGATTTTAAGGTAGTTTCTAAGTTCTTTACTATTATATGTAACCCCATAATGAATAACTTGCACTCTAAGGGTTTGTGCATAGTTCCATTTTTTTCTTGTGATAGAGGAATAGAAGTGGAATTACTAGCTAAATATCTAAGTATCTATTTTCATATTCCTAATATGCTTTGCCACATTTTCCTTCAGAAAAATTGTGCTTATTTAGCTCCTACCGGTAGTGTATGAGGGTGTCTGATAAAAGCCATTTTATATGAAAATTTTTGGTGGGTGAAAATTATCCAGTTATTATATCCAAGTTATTACCTTGATGATCGGAATCCGGGCCAGGGCCATGCTGGGAGCGCTGAGGGTTAGAAGGCCGCCCCGGGAAGGAGTCAGTGAGAACCAGCCTCCTTAGTTGTGTCGGGGTGTGTGTTCTCGCTCCGTGCCAGGCGCTGAGGGCGACGGCAACGATGCAAGACACTACACTCGCCCACCAGGAAGCTCCCTCCGATTTCGCAAACTGCACACCAAAGCGGGCCCAAAGACAGTTCGCCCTAAGACACTGGGTCAGGACCCTTTCCACCCTCTCCCAGGCTCAAGTTCTTCCCCATCAAAGGGTGATGCAATCCCCGTCCTGTCAGCCATTCTGGGCTGTCGTGGGACTCTAACCTGAGGGAGCTTTGTGAACTTTTGAGCGTAGTGCACTCGTATAGAATTTTCACTCAAAACAAGGAGTTTGAGGGGAGGAGGGAAAGAGAGGCAGAGCGTCCCAGCGAGACCGGAGGCCGCGGGCGGAGACGCTCAGAGCGCGCCGGGACTGGGTGACTGGGAGGCGGCTCCGTGAGATACTTTTTCTCTCCCGCGGGCGCCAGGTTAGCTGCAGCAAGAGGGAGCGGTCCGCGGCCCCGCCCACTGCGCGGCCCCCTTCCAACCACAGACCCTTCCCAGTGCCGGCCCCACACCCAAGTCACCAATCCCTCCCCAGGCCGGCCCGTCCCTTGGCAAGCCTCTCCCCAGGCGGGCCCCGCCCCCGCCCCGCCCCCCCGCTTGCCCCACACCTCAGTCACCAATCCCTCCCCCGTGCCCGCCCCTCCCCCTGAGAGCCCGCCCCCGCGCCAGCCACCCCCCCCACCCCACCACCGGAAGTGCCGTCGGAGCGTTCCAGCATGGAGCGCGAGCCCAGCGCCACGGCAGCCGCCCCTGCTGCGGCCGCGCTCTTCGCCTGGGTACGTGACTCCGCCTCCGGGCCGTGGCCGCTGGGACTGAGGGGCGCACAGACGCTGGGAGCCCCCGGCCTCGGCGTGGGCGGTCCTGGGGCCAGGCAGCCGAGGTCCGAGAGGCGCTCCTGGTTGGAGGATCCTGGGCTGGGGGCTGAGGAGGAGAGGGCGGGAGGGAAGGGTTTTCATGGGGTGACTTAAGGGCTTCTGGCTTGTGGGGTCCAGACCGGAGGGGCGGCGGCGCAGTGGGAAGAACCTGCCTCCAGGACAGAGCGTCTGGGTCCGCGACAGACTTCAGGCCCGGATAGCGCCGGGAGAGGCGGAGCGGAGGGCTCTGTGGAGAGAGGATCTCCCCGTCCCAGAGCCCCGTGGGGCCACCTGTGCCCTTCACCCTCCCATTGCCAGGAGGATGAAGGCCTTTCCCCAGCCCCACCCCAGCCTGGCCGGAGCAGCCTTTGGTGTGGGGCCGGCGGTGTTGGGCTGTGCACAAGGCGGAGACCCTGCATAGTTACTGATACTCGGCTGTGACTGGGTCTTGCCTGCACGGAGGGTGTGGGAGTCTGCGCTGGTGTTGGTTTGACGGGAGCACTGAGAGACAGGGTCATCTTTATGTGTCGTGGCTGGAAGAGAGGAGAGTCTGTGCACAGGAGTGTGTGGCAGGCAGCCGACCAGATGCACGGGAACAAACATAGTGTCTTGTAGTTCTTCATAGCACATGCTTGTAATGAGACGTATAACTTGTTAATGTCGGTCTCCTTGGCCAGAATGTAGGCGTCATGAGGGTGGGTGCCGTGCATGTCTTGCATGGTGCCTGGCTTGTGCCTGGCACATTGTAAGGTGCTCAGTACATATTTGTTGACTAATGGATGAATGAGTACCTGTTGTGTGCCGAGCTATGTGCTGGTCTTTTGGGAACAACAAAAGAGTGAAAGACTTCCAGCTCTCGTGTTGGGGGCGGTGGGGGGAAGAGAATAAGACCTTTACTGCTGTTACAACCAGTATGTATAGACTAATTTACAAAATGGCAATTATCGGTACCAGGCAGCATTTACTGAGTGCAAGACTGCTGCAGACCGGCAGAAGGGAGAGCGTGGTGTGGCCCGAGGTGGTCTAGCTGTGTCTTTGGGGTGGCACTGGAGCTGGGGGTGGAATTAGGGATTGAATGTGTGCCTGGGTGGGTGCTTATCCCACCAAGGCCAGGGACTGGGGTCTGTGTAGACAGAGGAAACATCTGACAGAAAAAGCCTTTCATATATGGCCTTGTCAGTACTGAAGCAAAAATACTGTTGAACCTAACTTCGTTGCTGTGCTTGGAGGCTTGCTGGTATTTTCTTCCTGCGGCATTATCTGTGTGGAGGGGTGTATTAGCTTGTAGGGCTGCCATAACAAAATACCACAGACTGGGAGGCTCCAACAATGGAAATTTATTTTCTCGCAGTTCTGGAGGGTAGAAGTCCAAGATCAAGGTGTCAGCAGGTTTAGTTTCATCTGGGGCCTCTTTGGCTTATAGATGGCCTCCTTCTTGCTGTGTCCTCATGTGGCTTTTTCTGTGGGTGGGAGCATTCATGTGTTTCTTCTTATAAGGATACCAGTCATATTGGATTAGGGTCCCATCCTTATGACCTCATGGAAGCTTAACTACCTTTTTAAAGGCCGTATCTCTGAAAACAGTCACAGTCTGAGGTACTGGACATTAGGGTTTCAACAAATGAATTTCAGCGGAACACAATTCAGTTCATAACAAGGGGATTTACCTTTTTGGATGGGTGTGTGTGTGTGTGTGTGTGTGTGTGTGTGTGATGTCTGGAGTGTTTGTAAGGAAGGCAAATACAGCTGTAATAGATTGTATTAAAATTTCCTTTTGTTTTGCTTTATCTTGGATTTAGGGCCTCTTGCTACATTACAAAAATTTGGTGCCATTGTTTGAATCTCATAATGCTGGCTCAGCAACCTGTAGCCCTGGTAATGGGGCAGCCATGGAGATCTCATGGCTAACAGAGAAATCCTCTGCACATGCTTTCCACTTCACACCGTGCAAGTCTTTCATTTGCTCTTTCCTGAAGGACTCATAGGGTCTTACATTAATTCACTGTAAAATATATGCACACCTTCTTTGGGCCAGCACCATTTCAGATGTGGGGGAAATAGCAGTGAACAGAACAAAGCTCCTGCCATCATGGAGTTACTTAACTCTCTGAGCCTTAGTTTCTTCATCTATGAAATGAATGATAATGCCCCCCACCCTGTGAGAATTAAAGGGGAATGCCCAGCACACAGAGAAGCACTCAGTAGTTGGTTGCTAATATTGCCCTGAGGGCCTCTGGGACCTGTGTCCCTGCATGGCTCCCTCGTCCAGCATGGAGTCCTTGCAGCCCAGATGGCTGTGGAATAGACCACAAGGGGCAGGAGTTTGTATATATGTATGCATTTTTTGGTAGTTATTTTAAATCACTTTTTTTCATTCAGGTGTCTTCAAAAACAAACACATTTAAAAAATTTTACTACTCAAGAACCAACCAGCAGTCGGTGGTTGGAGAAATTATAAGGATTTCCAGAATCTTAATAAGATTTTCCCTGCAGGTCCATAATCCCTTATCTTCAATTTTGAATACAAAAAGCTCTGTAAACCCAGAACTGACCTGACATGAGGCTGTTTATAGTCTTTGCCCACTAACTATTTGTACTGTTTACTGCAGAAATAATACTGTTTTACTTATGGGGTGCTGCTCCCGGACCTTGCAGCAGTGTATATGATTTATATACTGTATTACTTTTCTAAAGTCTATAAAATTCTGAGTCTGAAGTACATCTGGCTGCAAGGGTTCCAGATTAGGGATTCTGGACCTTTATCATATAATAACGACAACAGACATATTGCCCATCAAGGGGAAATCTGTTTCCTTAGAGGAATCTCACCACGTGAATCTTACAGTAACAAAACATTGTACTTGGAAAGGCCCTTAGAGATCGTTGCCAACCTCTTTCACCTGTTTCAAATGAAATAACAATGGTGTGCCTTGCTTGAGGGCAAATCCTCAGCTAACTTTGATTCCAGAAAGTCCTTGCCAGTTTTCCCAGTTAGGGTGTGGGGAGAAGGGACAAGAACTAGTCCTAGCGTATTTCCCACCCACTTCGTTCCTATTTTTCTTGATTATTTCTTTCCGTAGCTTCCCTAGATAACTACCGTTTATCAGAAGGAACTCCTATGCTGTCCCCTAAAGGCAACACATGTAGGCTGGGGCATTGGAAGGGGAAGGTGAAGAGTATCACTGGATGAGTTGTGGATGCTGAGAGCTCCTCTCACATGGAAATCGTGGTGTTGTGGGGATGGGGCCACTGTCCAAGTGTGGGTTGCGTATAACAACTTCTTTAAGAATGAGTCTATGAAATCTCATCTGTTACAAGCTCTGAGAGGAGCGTGAGGGTGAGAAAGATAGGGACAGGTAAATTCAAATTGACAGTTGGGGTTCCCATAGTTTTTCGTCCTTGGCTTATTTTATCCCTAGGGTGCAAATAGCTATGGGCAACTTGGCCTTGGCCACAAGGAAGATGTGCTTTTGCCCCAGCAGCTGAGCGACTTCTGTAATCCTGGATGTGTCAAGAGGATCACGGGAGGAGGGGGTCACTCTGCTGTTGTCACAGGTAACTTCCTTCAAGAATATATTTTCTCTTATTTTCTTATTTAGACATTCTCCCCTAGGGTGTTATATTACTATCTTTCAACCTTTTGTATTTTGCAGAGGACAACTTTTTTTGTGAAGGAATCACGTTACCATCAGAGAATGGCAGATTGTCAGAGCTGAAAGGATTTCAGAGATCAAGGCCACCCCTCTTTTCCCCTCGCCCGCTCTCCAAATGAGCCTCAGAGAGGAAAATTGCTTAAGGTTACAAGACAAGTAGTGGCCGAGTTGCAACATATATTACATTTTGTACCATAGATTGATATTTAACTTTCATATATGAGTTAGAAGTCTTGGCAGTTAAGTTGAATATTCCTTGAGAGCAAGAATTTTATATTTTCCATAATCTTCCCTCAGAGTACCTAGGATAGTACTTAATAAGTACTACAAGCGCTATAATATTGCAAAGGAGGGCATATTGCATCCTGGTTAAGAACATGAACTCTGGAATCAAACCGTGTGGGTTTAAATCCTGGTTCTCTTAATTGTTAACTGTGTGGCCTTGGGCAGATTACTTAATTTCTCTGTGCCACTGTTGCCTCTGTTACATGGTGATAATAATGATGAGAAACAATGAGTTAACAGGGCTGTATTATGACTTTCATGGGTCCTTGACACTTTTGCCTTTGTGGATACCTCCTTCCATAAAGAAATATTTAAAATTATGTTTACAGCTGCACTGACATAAAGATTAATATAATCCAGGCTAGATTTACATATTTTTTTATTAAAAAATTAGATTAAAACATTTTTGTGGGCTTCTACAAGTATGGTGGGCCCCAGGCACTGTGCCTAAAGGATAAGTCAGCCCCACGCCTGAGGCCCTCAGAAGAGTACTTGGCACATTCTGCATCCTGAATAAACGTTGGCTTTTATTGTTACGGCAGATGCCCAATTTGGTAATTGATTGGCCACTGCTGTAGGACTTGGAGTTTCCATTTAGATGTTAGATTGGAGCCCCTTGGACTTGTGCCATTTGGTCCAGAACACATTAACATGCATGGCTTATTAACTTGGGTGGGAAAAAAGTTAGTTGGGTCCATGACTCCAAATAATTAATGAAATCCTTTTGCTCATCTTAGCAGTTGTAATTTCCCCTGTTCACACTACCACTAAAACCTTTATATTTTGCAGATGAAGGAAGCCTTTTTGTCTGTGGCCTGAACAAAGATGGGCAACTGGGGCTTGGTCACACCGAGGATGCCCTGTACTTTACCCCCTGCAAATCCCTCCTTGGATGTCCCATCCAACAGGTGGCCTGTGGCTGGGATTTTACCATTATACTTACAGGTGAGTGTACTCCTAGGTAAATCTTTATCACCACAAAGGCTTTGGGTGAGAAGAGCATGATATTGGGCCCTGATTAAATGAAATCCTCATTGTATTTAAAAACACACACAAGTGTTCTCTCTGGTTGTCAAGGAAAGTTGCAGGGTGCATTTTGCAAGGAGGGTTTTAACAGTAAAGGAGATAGGGCTGGAAAATCTGGACTGTAATTATTAGAATCTAAACAACAGCTCTCATTTATGAAGTACTTAGTGTGGGCCTGTGTCAGAGTTGTAGGGAGTCAGTAGGTAACACTCTGTTTCTTGCTCACATTTGGGATCAATTGTGAGACAATCACAGAGCAGTCAGACAGGTAGAGATCAAATTATCAGCTTTTTACTGATACAGGCTAAATTGGAGGGCAAGGTTAATTGTCAAGCCAAGAGGTTCTGCTAATACTCCTCTGATCCAAACCCACTCCCCAAACTCTAGGCCTCCCCCGTAGGGGAAGCCTTTACTATGTGTCAGCCCAGAGTGCCTGAGAGGAAGGTGCCAAAGCCATACTGTCCTGTTCCTTCTCCCAAATTCACCAACTGGCTAGGTTACCCATCCTCCCCTAGAAAGCAGTGAGAATGGGGAAGGGCAGGGAGAAAGGCCTGGAGTATATTAAAATTATGGAAATTCCATCTCATGGAAATATGAAAAGTGGGAGATAAGTATCCTCCATCCCAACACTAGGCACATGGCTAAGCATTCTCCACAGCTCACTTGTCATTAATTAGGTGGTGTAGTGGATAGCCTGTGTAAAACGCTTAGCCCAGCGCCCACTGTTTTTGTTCCTAGGGGGATAGAGCAGGGCGTATGGACTGAATGTGCTGGAGCCCAGGGCCCCACTCACTCCTCTCATTCCTTTTGCTCTTCTCATCCTTCAGCATTTACCCATTTGTCACAGATGTCTTACTTCTTAGATTTGCAATTCAGGTATTTCTATTTTGCAGAAAATGGTCAAGTTCTATCATGTGGATCCAATTCCTTTGGCCAATTAGGAATTCCTCATGGGCCTCGAAGATGTGTGGTCCCCCAGGCCATTGAGGTAAGGACAGCCCCTAATATTGAGCTTGCCTGTGTACTGTGAAAGTGTCTCCAGGTATCACAGTTATCCCTCCCTGGACTAAAAGACTGGCTGGGTTCCTGAAAACCCATGGGGTAGTTAGAATTTAAGTTGAAAAACTCAGGTTCTCCTGGGAAAAATTAGGTTGGAGGCATGGATATTGTGAGTGAAAAGCCTCTGTTAGCTCTCATACATGTTATACTTTTTTGTGAAATAAAGCAATAAAAGTAATATATCTTATAATGACATTAATGACATTTTACAGTTCTAAAAGTCGTCATAGTGGAAACTGTGTTAGAAACAGGTCCAGTGGGAATTGACTCGCCTAAAGACACTAAGTGAGGCAGATGGCATAGGCCCGCACTGTCCAGTGGGAATGTCATGTGAGCCACATATGTAACTTAAAAGTGTCTAGCAGTGCCATTTAAAAAAGTAAAAAGAAAAAAAGGTGAAATTAATTTTTAAAATAACAGCTTTATTGAGATATAAGTCGTATACCATAAAATTTACCCTTTGAAAATGTATGTTTCAGTGGTTTTTAGTATACTCACAGAGATGTGCAGCTACCACCATCATCTAATTTTAGACCATTTTCATTATCACAAAAGAAACTGCGTACCCAATAGCAGTTAACTCCCATTTTCCCCTCCCACCAGCCCCTGATGTCTGCTAATCTGTATCTGTGGATTTGCCTATTCTGGGCATTTCACATAAATGGAATCATACAATATGTAGCCTTTTGTGGATGGCTTCTTTTACTTCACATGATGTTTTTAAGTTTCACCCAAGTCATGGTATGACATGGTAAAATTAATTTTAACAACTTTTAAACTACTATAATGTGGCCAAACTATTATTATTTCATTTTATATGTCACCAGTATAAAACTTTATTAATGAGATATTTTATATTCTTTCATTTATATGTAGACTTTTTCTGGTATACATGTTTTACTTAGAGTATATCTCAATTCAGTCTAGTCACATTTCAAGTGTTCAACAGCCATGTGTAGTTAGAGGCTACCATATTGGCCAGCACAAATGTAAGATAGGACTCCTGGTTTTAGTTCAGAGCTCTTTTCACTGCATCATACTTAAAATGTACACATTTTTGTGAAGATTATATTGTAAGCAAACTTTTAGAGGAATTATGCTGGAATCTAAAATGAGTTTCACCGCCTAAGCTGCTCCACTCATATCTAATTTCCTTAAACAGTGACTAAGAGTGGGAGATCTGTTTTCACTGGAGAGAGCTTAGGTCTGCTCCTATCACTTTGCTGAATTCTAATTGCTGGTATTGTGGGGTATTATTTGGGGTCATGGTTTGGGCTGTTCTAACAAAAATATTATAGACTGGGTGGCTTAAACAGCAAACATTTAATTTCACAGCTCCAGAGGGTGGGAAGTCCAAAAGGCACTGGCATTTTTGATATTTGGTGAGGGCTCACTTTCTGGTTCATAGACAGCCATCTTTTTTCTGTGTCCTTACACGCCACCAGAAGGGGAAAGGCGCTCTCTGGGGTCTCTTTTATAAGGGCATTAATCCCATTCATAAGGGCTCCGCTCTCATGACCTACTCACCTTCCAAAGGACCCACCTCCAAATACTATTATGTGTTGGGGATTAGATCTCAACATGAATTTCCTAAGAACACAGACACTGAGTCTGTAGCACATGGTATGCGTGGAAGTCTAGACTCTGTAGTCCCTGTTGTAAGAAGTGCTACAGCTTATAGTTGCAAATAGGTAGCTTTTTAAGAACCTATGTATAAGTTATAATTAATTTAGCTTAAGTCACATGGTTAAAGAAGACAGGGAGGAGCAATGGTTAAATATGTTGGATGACAGAATCAGAAGGTAAAAACATTTTGACACACTGTATCTTATAGAACAATGGGAGGAATGTGCCAAAGTGAAGTATAAGAGAAATTCATTCATTTATTTAATAGTAACTATTGTGTGTAGGTGCTGTATTTAGGCAGGGGGGACAAGGGTGAGTAAGACCCAATCCTAGCATTCGAGGGCCTGTAGTTTAGTAGTACATGTTAGATCCAGAAATACCTAGATGCATTACCATGTTAGAACTATGACAGATGCATGTATAGCCTCGAAAGGGAGTACTGAACTCTTTTTAGGGGAAGGTGGGGTGAGAACAGACTTACGCTGAATCTTGAAAGTTGAGTAGAAATTTCCCTGGCTTGGGATAGAAGGACGTGCAGAGTAGGTACAAAAGAAGCACATTACAAACAGAAGGAACTTTGTGAACTAGGGTATAGAGCATAAAACAGGAGGGCTTGGGATACTGCAAGCAGTTTAGTGTGATTGGAATATAAGGAAGTGGTAGAAGTGCCAGTAGGGATCGGGCAGGCAGGGAGGTAGTGTCTGATAAATGGTAAGAACAGTGAGTTAGAGAGGGGCCACATGGGATAGTGTGGGGGGTGGACTGAAGGAAGATTACTCAGAAAACTCTTGCTAATAATCCAGATGAGAGATGATCCTTCCCCAAACGAAAGCAGCAGTAGTGGGGATGGAGAAGAAGGAATTGAGGTAAGTTGGTTTGAAGAGAGTGACTCCGCATATAAAGCCCTTCAGTTAGCTTTGAAAAGGAAAAAAAAAAAGTAAAAGAAAAAAAATTTAAGGGTGGTATATTCAAATTGTATGAGCAGTAAGATTTGATCTTCCACAAAGCTAATGTGATTGTGGGCTGAATTGATAGAAATATAGTCTCCAGAAGAAGGGAGGCCAGAGCTCTGTCCTTCTTTGTGCTGGTCACACTGCATCTAGGATGTTGTGTCCTGGTGTGGGTTTGGTTCTTAGGCCCTGGGCACTGAGGTGAATAAGACTCAGACCCTGCCCTTGAGGACTCTAAAGTTTAGAAGGACACTGTGGATCTGTAAATAAGCAAATATGGTAAGGTCCCATAGGGGCTGTGATTGGTGCATATACAGTCCCTTAAGAGAGAGAGACTGAGTAACCAGAGCATAGAGGAGAGAAACCAAGGGGGGGAGGGAATTTGAAACTAGGTGATGGCTGATGGAATTGGGGATTTTTTCCTAAAGAAGAGATGTGTATTAGTTATCTATAGCTGTGTAATAAGTTACCCCAAAATTCAGCAGCTTAAAGCAACAAGCATTTATTATCTCACAGTTTTGGAGGGTCAGGAATCTGGGAACAGCTTAGCTGGTCTCATGACTTTGCAGTCGAGATGTCAGCCAGGCTGCATGAGGTCTGCTGGAGGCTCAACTGGGCTGGTTCCGCTTCCACGCTCTCTCATGGACAGGAGGCTTTAGTTCCTTGCCATATGGGCCTCTCTATAAGACTGTTTAGACATGGTGTCTGACTTCCCGGAAGAGTGATGAGGAGAGAGAGAGAGAGAGAGGGAGAGGGAGGGAGGGAGGGAGGGGGGGGGGGGGGAGGGAAGGAGGGAGGGAGGCTGGTCAAACAAGAAGCCTCAATGCCTTTCATCCGCTAGTCTCAGAGCCACTTATCACTTTCTTATCCTATTCATTAGAAGCAAGTCACTAAGTCCAGCCCACAGTGAAAGGGAGGGGAATTAAGCTGCACATCTTGAAGGGTGGAGTCTTAAAGAATTTGGGAACCACAAGGTGTCTTAGGACATGACAACTGTCTTCAAATGTTTGGGAAGCCTTGTCAGAAGCAGTAGGCAGATAGGTTTGGTTCCACCTAAGGAGACAGATGGAACCGTGCAAAGATGAGCAGGCATCTGGGGAGGTGGTGAGCCCATGTCACTGGAAGTAGGTATTTGACAGGGGTTGTATGACCACTTGGTGGGGTGTTGTAGACAGGTTTCTAGCATTGAATGGGGATTAGACTAGATCAGAGGTCAGCACACTAGAACCCTTGGTAAATAAAGTTTTATTGGAACACAGCCATGCCCATTCATATATTTATTGTGTATGTTGCTTTTATGTTACAATGGCAGAGTTGAGTAGTGTGACAGAAACCATGTGGCCTGCAAAATCTAAAATATTTACTATTAGGCCCTTTACAGAAAATGTTTGTTAACCCCTGGACTGGATGACCTTGCAGGTGCCTCCTAGCCCTGAGTGGCATTGTAGTATGGTATTTCAAAAAGATTTTGCCTTTTAGGGATACATACAGAGGCATTTATGAGTGGAAATGTTGGGAATTGGGAGCTCCAAACCAATCAGACACATAATGAGGATCATGCTGTGTTGTGTTTGGGCATAAATTACATAAAATTTTGTAGATGGATAATTCTGAGATTGCCGTCCTTTTCTTTGTTTTGACAGCCCCTGAGAGAGAAGGTTGTTAGTATTGCTGCTGGACTCAGGCATGCTTTAGCTGCAACAGGTGATCATTTTGCTTTTATTTTCTTGATAAGCATGTAATAAGGAGACACGGAGATTTGGAAGAAATAAACTTTAACGAGTAATTCAGAGTGTCCTGCTGTGCTGCAGTCTGATTAAAAGGAGGGGACATAAGGCAGAAGTCATGTGGGAAAGCCTTTAGCAGGTAGGGAGGAAGGAAATGAAGTTGTCTAGCTCTTTGTTATGTTCTTAGGCATGGTGCTAGGTTCTCTTGATTTAGTTAGTACCTCATTTAATCCTCATAGGCACGCAGTGATGTGAGTTAAAAATTTTTTGTATTGAGGTATAGTTGATTTACTATATATATATATATATATATATATATTTATTTTTTTTTTTTTTGCGGTACACGGGCCTCTCACTGTTGTGGCCTCTCCCGTTGCGGAGCACAGGCTCCGGACGCACAGGCTCAGCGGCCATGGCTCACGGGCCCAGCTGCTCCGCGGCATGTGGGATCTTCCCGGACCGGGGCACGAACCCGTGTCCCCTGCATCGGCAGGCGGACTCTCAACCACTGCGCCACCAGGGAAGCCCAATTTACAATATTATGTTCAGTTTTAGGTGTACAACATAGTGATTCACAGTTTTTAAAGATTATACTCCATTTATAGTTGTTAGAAAATATTGGCCATATTTCCTGTATAATATATTCTTATGGCTTATTTATTTTATACATGGTAGTTTGTACCTCTTACATATGAAGAAACTGAGGTCCAGAGAGGCTAAAGTGTTTGTCTACAGTTACACAGGGAGTTAGGAAATAAAAGGTGAGCTGGGATCAGAGTCTAGGACGGGCTGGATTCCAAGACCTACATTCTTTGCCATGAACTGCATTACTTTTCTAGTGGATGTAAATGTTTATTAATTTGAATGCTTCAAGTGAGCTTGTCTCCTGTACTGTGAGAGGGTGATGCACATAGGGCTGACAGCGTGTGTGAGGTTGAGGGTGGAAAGTGGAGGAGGCAGTGACCCTTTTTTCTCTCTTGCTCATTTTTCTGCTTTCCGTTCCCACTTCTTTGGGCTGAAGGACAGCCCAAACTGGCTATGGCAGCCGAGGCTCAAGCGTTGGTGAGTCCAGTTGTGGAATGGGGAGAAGAGTGGAGGCGAGGAAGAATTCGGTGCATCATGGTGCTGGTGGTCACTTGGGGCTTAGTGTGATTATACTTTTGGAAAAACTAAGCTTTTTATTTTAAGGTAATTGTAGATTCACATGCGGTTGTAAGAAATGAAACAGATCACACTCACTCTTTGCCCAGTTTCTCTCAGTGGTAACATCTTGTGAAAGTATAGTGTAATAGCACAACCAGGATGTCTTGACACAGTCAAGATACAGAACAGTTCCATCACAAGGATCCCTCTTATGGCTCTTTTGTAGCCGCACCCACTTCCTACCTACTCTCACCACTTAGCTCTTTCATTCTCCCACAGTAATGTTGTCATTTTAAGAATGTTATATAAATGGTATCATACAGTATTTAGCCTTTTGGGGTTGGCTTTTTTGCTCAGCATGAGTCCCTGGAGATTCATCCAAGTTGGGAGTATGAATAATTTGTTCCTTTTTATTACTAATATTCCATGGTATAGAGGTACCACTGTATTAGTTTGCTGGGGCTGCCGTAACAAAATGCCACAGAGTGGGTGGCTTAAACAACAGGAATTTATTTTCTCACAGTTCAGGAGGCTAGAAGTCCAAGACCAAGATACCATGAGGGTTGGCTTCTCTTCCTGGCTTGTAGATGCTGTCTTCTTGCTGTCTCTTCACACGGTTCTTCCTCTATGCACGCATGGAAAGAGAGAGAGATCTCCAGTGTCTCTTCCTCTTTTTAAAAGGACACCAGTTCTGTCAGATTAAGGCCTCACTATTATGACCCATTTAACTTTTATCACCTCCTATAGGCCCTATCTCCAAATACAGTTACACTGGAGTTTAGGACTTCAATATATGAATTTACGGGGAACACAATTCAGTCTATAACAACCACGGTTTGTTTAACCAGTCACCCATTGAAGGACATTTGGTTGTTTCTGGCTTTTAGCTATTAGGAATAGAGCTATAATCATTTGTGGACAAGCTTTCCTGTGAACATAAGTTTTCATTTCTCTGGGATAAATGACCAGGAGTGTGATTACTGAGTTGTATGGTAGTGATTATGCTTTTATAAGCAGCTTCTTCTCTTAGAAATTAGAAGGACCAAAGAATTGCCTGTCATTGGTTTCCTTGCCCCTTTCCTACCAACATTTTGTGATTGCTAGTCTTATGTGTACACTTTTGTCCAGTTAACAAAGCAGCACAGTTCCCATTATGTGTTTAATTTAATTGTAAGTCCTCCCCTCCCCCACTTAATCTGTAACTATTTCTGCCCACATCTCTAAAAGATAAGGAATTTTTCTGAAAACATTACCCAAAAATACCATCATCATACCTACAAAAAATTATCAGTAATTCTGTAATTTCATCAAGCATCTAGTCAGTATTTAAATTGCCCTGATTATCTCAAAAATATTTTTTTTATGGTTTGTTTGAATCAGGATCCAAATTAGGTTTATCATTGCAATTGGTTGATATGTATCTCAAGTCTCTTTCTCTCTTTTTTAAAGTTTATTTATTCCTTTTAGTTTTTTACTGTGATAAAATACACATAAAATTTATCATCTTACCCATTTTTAAATGTACAGTTGAGTGGGATTAAGTACATTCACATTATTGTGCAACTATTACGAAAATCTGTCTCCAGAACTTTTCTCATCTTGCAAAACTGAAACTCTATACCCATTAAACAATAACTCCCCATTCCCCCTTCTCCCAGTCCCTGGCAACCACCATTCTACTGTCTATTTCCATGATTTTGGCCACTCATACAGGTACCTCATATAAGTGGAATCATACAGTCTTTGTCTTTTTGTGGCTTATTTCACTCAACATAATATCCTCAAGGTCTATTCATGTTGTAGCAAATGTCAGAATTTCCTTCCTTTTTAAGACAATGATATTCCACTGTATGTGTATACCACATTTTGCTTATCCATTCTTCTATTGATAGACACTTGGGTTGTGACCACATTTTAGCTATTGTGAATAATACTGTTATGAACATGGGTATACAAATATCACTTTGAGATCTTGCTTTCAGTTCTTTAGGATGTGTACCCAGAAGTAGGACTGCTGGATCATATAGTAATTCTATTTTTAATTTTGGGGGGAATTGCCATACTGTTTTCCATAGTGGCTATACCATTTTACATTCCCACCAGTAGTCACAAGGTTTCAGATTTCTTCACATCCTTGCCAACCCATGTTATTTTCTTCTTCTTTTTTTTAATAGTAGTCATCCTAATGAGCGTAAAGTGGCATCTCATTGTAGTTTTGATTTATATTTCCCTAATGACTAGTGATGTTGAGCATCTTTTTATGTGCTTATTGGCCATTTGTATATTTTCTTTGGAGAAAAGTCTTTTCAAATCCTTTGCTCATTTTTGAATTGTTGTTGTTGTTGTTGAGTTTTAGGAGGTCACTGTATATTTTAAATATTAATCCTTTATCAGGCATCTCCAGTCTCTTTTAATCTTTATGTACCTTTTCTCTCTTTTTATCCTCTTGCAATTTATTTGTTGAAGAGATGGTAAGTTTTGTTTTATTTCAATACTGTGTTTTGCTCACATTGTGCTCAATCATCATCACTTATATTTCACAAAGCATGCTTGTCTGTTTACAGCCTAAAGGACCATTGGGTATAGGATACTTCTGGAGGAGCAGTACCTTAATGTTGCTGTTGGATAGTGAATCCTAGTTACACACATCTGACTGTAGACAAAATATACAATATTTCATCTATGCATTTGTATGAGGTTCAGAACATGGGTACATGGATTAGAGTCAGTGAATATGGAAATAAAAGGCCATTCCACTGAAGTAGTGGCTATTAAGAAGCTATCTTGCAGTCGTAAATATGTATTTATTTGATGATTAGGAATCTTTGAATTCATCTTGATGTAGTAGAAAAGACACTACATTAGGTGTAGGAGAGTTAAGTCCTGGTGTTTTCTCTGCTACTAGCTCCCCGTATGACCTTGGACAAATCACAGCTCCTCTACAGGGCCTCAGTTTCTCATGCAGTAAATGTGAGGAATGGACGTGGTAAGTTTCAAGGTTCTTTCCTGCTCGATCTGGAGTCTCAGTTGTCCTTTCAAGTTAATCATGAAAAAAATGCCATTCCAGTAATTTGACTCTGGAGGAGTGTCCTAGAACTTTCTGGAGGGAGTTTTACTATGTTGGAATTTCCTTTGATGGTCTTAGATTGCCCCGAAGATTGGATTTGTGATTGACTTGGTGGTAATCCCTATGACCAGCCACAGGGCCTCTTGAGGCAATAAGCTTTTCCATAATATGCATGTTAACTGAGCATGAATTGGGAATCTCTCATGGCATTGAGGTTCAAAGAGCAATCTGGTCTTAATCCAGATAAAGATTTTCTTTTTTCTCTCCTGCTCCGCTGGGAAGCTAGTGGCATGGTGTTCCAGTGGGGAACTGGTTTGGCATCATCTGGACGGCGGTTGTGCCCTGGGCAGACTCTCCCACTGTTTTTGACAGCAAAGGAACCAAGCAGAGTGACAGGTAAGGTCCTTACTTCTTCTGAATCCTGTATTTATTCTTTGTTTGGAAATGGAGACACAGGCATGCAGAAAATGGGTAAATGGAGTTCTGCGTTTGCTATTTCTTGGTCTCTCTGTCTTAACTCTCTCCGTTGGTTGGTCTATTAATTTGCTGGAATTTTTGTGGGCCCAGTAAAAGTACTCCTCTTTGCTGCCAGAGTTTGGAACCCATTGAGAAGTAGATGCGAGTCAGGTGGGTGGAAATCAAAATGGTAACTCTAGAGCTGTTACAAGTTAGGTTGGAAGACATGGCTTAGGTGTTTGGAAATAACGTGTAGCAATAGTGAGCCTCCAGGTTCTGAATCCCAGATTGAATTTACCCACCAGGCACTGGAGCAGCTGTATGCATTCAGTCCTGCTAAGCTCGTGGTGCCGCTGAGACCACGGAGGAGGTGCCCTCTGCAGGCAGGCACATCCCAGAAGGAGAACCCACAAGGAATGTGCCTGCCTGCCCAGCTCCTTCTCCCGAAAGGAAAGCAGGAGCGAGCGGGGATGTGGAGAGAGGGGCTAGGAGCGTTCCCCGAGGGAAACCTCTTTTCATGGGCACACGAGGAGTAGGTAGGAAGGGTGCTGCCCACAGGACTCTTGGTCTCTAGGACTTTCTTTCTCTGTCTCTCTCCCTCTGTCTGCTCTACACTCTCTTCGTGGTCCTTTATCTCTCTGTTTGTAGCACCATGCCTCCACCTCCTCCTCCTCTTCCTCTCTTGCTCTGACTTTGTGACCCAGTTTACTGAGGGTTAGCTGTAGGAAAAACCTGTCAGGAAACCTCTGCTCTCCTCTAGCTCAGAATAAAGGAGGGATTTTTGAGGGCAGTAGGAAGTGGGGAGAGAAAAGGGAAGGGTGAGCTGCAGTGGGAGTGTCGTACAAGTTGTTGGGATCATTCTGATTCTCTTAAGTCCCTGAGGCTTTCCCCTGTTGCAGGGGGTGAGGTTAGCGCCCTGAAGCCCATGTGTTGAGTTGGGGAGGGTTCTCTTAGAGAAGGAGAAGGGGCCACTGAACACAGGACAGTCTACTTCACATTGAAAGCATTTGTAATATAAACTCATACTTCCCAAACATCTTTCCTGCCTCACAAAGGTATTCACTGCTTCCTGGGCATGCGCTGTGTTCTTATTCCTCTGTGCCTGTGGGCAGACTGTTACCTCTTCCCAGGATGCCTTTTCCTTCCTCTTCCCCTTGGGAAAATCCTGATCATTTTTCAGGTCCTTGCTCAGCTACAGCTTTCTCAGGAAAGACTCTTCCTTCTTCTCACGTCCATTGCATTTTCTTTTTTTTTTTTTTAATAGATTTATTTATTTATGGGTCTTCGTTGCTGTGCGCAGGCTTTCTCTAGTTGCGGCGAGCAGGGGCTACTCTTCGTTGTGGTGCGCAGGCTTCTCATTGCAGTGGCCCCTCTTGTTGTGGAGCATGGGCTCTAGGCATGCGAGCTTCAGTAGTTGTGGCACGTGGGCTCAGTAGTTGTGGCTCATGGGCTCTAGAGCGCAGGCTCAGTAGTTGTGGCACACAGGCTTAGTAGCTCTGTGGCATGTGAGATCTTCCCCAGACCAGGGATCGAACCTGTGTCCCCTGCATTGGCAGGCAGATTCTTAACCACTGCGCCACCAGGGAAGTCCGCATTTTCTTTGTGTGCATGGATAGCACAACGTATTGTATTGTTATGAGCTGTTTACATGTTTTCCCAAATGCCAAAGATGATGAGCTTTTTAAGGGTAGGGATTATGTCTACTGTCTGTTTTAGCACAGGTTTTGTATCTAAAAGGAATCAAGTGTTTTTATTTGATTTGATTTAAATGACCTGGTTGGGATCTGCTTGGGGCACAGCTTGGATTCAGAGTTAACCTGGGGGAATTTTCTGATGAGATGTTAGAGAAGATATCAGCTTCCTGCCCTCAAAGTCTTTCATTTTTCATTGTCCCCTCTTCACCTCATTGCCATCTGTTTTGGAGCTGGAACCCTGGATGTCCTCTCCCGACCCGGCCACTAGGAGACCAGTGCTTCCTCTCTGGTGAAAGTGGCAGAAACATCTTCTTTGTCCCTTTGTCATTCCACAGGATACTTGAAGGCATGAGGGGCATTTTATTAAGACACTAGTAAATTGAACAGAAGTGTAAGAAGAAAGAGTTACAGAATAGGACTCCCATTTCTCTGCATGCCAGACCAGGTGACCACAGCATCGAGCAGAGTTGATTAGGGTTTACACTGTTGTTGAAGGCAGTGTGTTTACGGGTGGAAAAGTGCTGGATTTGGATATGGGAGGCAAGTTCAAATTCTAGCTCTGCCTGTGTGTTGTTAGGAGGCCTGGGCTTGTGTTTCAGTGTCTGCATGTGATAGCAGCTGAATGTATGAGATGTCATTGCTTCTAGGCCCACTCCGTGGACAGAGCTAGGAAATATACATGTACACACACGTTTATACATATGTACACCTATGTCTGTTTATCTCTAGTAGAAACTGCAAGTCTACACTGACTTCAGTTACAATGCAGTATCACATGGTCAATTCTAGCCTTTAACCTTTTCATACCTGTACCTTTCTTCTCCTTTCTGATAGTGAGAAATCTGACTCCTTTATCCTCAAAATATTTATTTATTTGTTCAACCTCCTGGATATAAGCAGTCTCCCTACCATGCCAGCCATCTTCTTGGCCAGTGCCGCTGACTCAGACCTTCCTGCACTGGCTGAGAGTTTCTCTCCAGGTGCTGTGGTCACTGCCTATGGGCCTCCTGTGCCCAATTTGTTCTGTTACAAATGTGATTTCAAAAGAATTTTTTTTTTTTTTGTAGGCCTAGAGAATTCTCAAGCAGTATGTGTTCTTGCTGGCTCAGACCACTCAGCTTCACTGACAGGTAGGTAACATGCCATTCAGAATTCTGGGTGTTTCTGCCTCAAGTGATGCTATTGGGGTACAGAGGGAAAACCATAGACTTTGGAGTCAGAATTCTGATGCCACCACTGGTATGATCTTAGGCAAGTTGTTTTACCTTCCTGAGACCATTTCCTCTTCTATAAAGTACTTTGTGGATAGTTTTGAGAATTACATATCATAATACAGGTAAAACACTCATGTGAAACAGAGGCTCACTTCCTTTCCTCTAAGTTTGTTTTCTTAGCTGTACAATAGGGATAAAAGTATCTTCCTTTAGGGTAATTGTGATTGTCACATCATATAACCAACAGTAAACTTATGTATAATATGTTGTTATCTTATCCACCTAATCTATTTTGATGTCTAATATAACTATCTAAGCTCTCTAGCTGTCTATTTTATCTAGCTGTTTAATCTCAGACTAACCTATTTTATCTACCTATATCTTTCTTCTCCATTTATCTGTCACCGTGTCTGCTCTCTCTATTTATCTACTCTATTTTATTTAACTATACATCTCTATTTTTATTTATCTTCCATCTTAGTGTCTTCCTATCTAACCTAAGTCTCCATAATCTCTAAGTCTAGTTGTGTATATGTTTCTGTAATCTATTTTATATTTTTATGTTTTTCTCTAGTTGATCTCTCTATTCCATCTCTTTAATCTGTCTATCTAGTCTTTTTTCTCTCACACAGTGTGTATATCTCTCTGTCTTGGCCATGTATCTGTCCATCCATCCATTTGACACACCCAGCCAATATAGTATAAACTTTCTAGTGATAATGCAGCATTTTCTTGAAAGTGAAGGTTATCCATCTCTCCTAATGGTTCTTTTCAAAGCCCAGATTGCCCTGACCCCTGCTGGTAGACTGGATACTCTAGCTCCGAGAGATTTATGTTGGTAAGACCTCTCACCCAGAGTTGAATGCATTACATTTTTTAAGCAAAGGGAAATGACTTTCATACACAGTGTTTCCAGTGTTTCATGTGGAAATTAAGATGTGTACACAGTATCTGTAAATTAATGGAGGCATGCATTCTTCAACATCAAATTTGTAATGCAGTCCAACTGAGGAGCTGTTACTGTTTCCAAAGCACAAGAGCCGTAATGTGAGATTTTAAATACTTAACAGATTCTGAACTACAGATAATTTGATATTAATGAATTAAAAACAACTAACTAATGAAAGAACTAGCTGCTTTTAGCCTGTGTCTCACGTTAAGTAGATTTATAGATATGTTAAAAGAGTTGAGTTAAAATGAATGTCAGGGCTTCCCTGGTGGCTCAGTGGTTGGGAGTCCGCCTACCAGTGCAGGGAACATGGGTTCGGGCCTTGGTCCGGGAAGATCCCACATGCTGTGGAGTGGCTGAGCCCGTGCGCCACAACTGCTGAGCCTGCGCTCTGGAGCCCGTGAGCCACAGCTACTGAAGCCCGTGTGCCTGGAGCCCGTGCTTCGCGGCAGGAGAGGCCACTGCAGTGAGAAGCCCGCTCGCCACAACTAGAGAGGGCCCACGTGTGGTGACGAAGACCCAATGCAGCCAAAAATAAATAAATAAATAAATTTATTAAAAAAAAAAAAAAGAATGCCAGCTCTAAGGGACTCCTCTGGGCATGTGGTCCCACCTCCCCTTTTATGGGGAGGGGGGCAGAAGGCCCCAGGACAAGAAGTGACTAGTTCATCCCCCACAGTCCTCACTAGCATTGGAGGAAGGCATTCTTTTCTGAGAATAAGAACAGACTAAGAGAGGTTTCTTTTTTTTTTTTTCGGCCATGCCATGCGGCATGTGGGATCTTCTCCGACCAGGGATCAAACCCATGCCCCCTGCGTTGGGAGCACGGAGTCTTAACCACTGGTCCACCAGGGAAGTCCTGAGAGATTTCTACTCTGTTCTAATTCATTTGAAATGGCTGGTATTTTGTAAACCTAGAGATTCTTCTAGTTGCTTGCTAACATCGATTTCTTAAAAACTCTTGTAATCAGTAAAGCTATTTTTTATTTCATATGCGGAGCATTTTTACTATGGTGTTTTTAAAACATAGATGTTGGATTTTTTATTGTGATATAATTCATATATGAAATTCACTCCTTTAAAGTGTGCAGTTTAGTGATTTTTAAAGTATATTCACAAAGCGAATTGGTTTTGGATATTGTGAAAGTGAATTAAAAAGGGTCAAGATTAATATCCGTCTTTCCTGGTCTAGTTCAAGCTGTTACACATTGGATTTTGTTCAGTGTTCTTTAGACCTTCTCTCTGGAGTTGTAGATTATGTAACTATTTGACATTGCAGCAGAATTTAGTTTTGCCTGCTGATGCAACAGTGTAACGATCCGCATTACATTACTGTGGAAGACAGTTCGTCTTTGCAAAAAAGATGGTTTAGACTTACTAAGATAAATGAAGGCTTATTACAGACGCAGGCTCATTGTCAGTGGTACCTTGGTAGCTAAGCACTCCATTTAATGGGTTGAAGCTTTGCTGAGGGGTCCTCTGCCCTCTTGTAAAGGATCCTCATACTTCATACACCCTGGTGAGGTCCAGGGAGGTTGCCCTCTCTCTAGGCACGAAATATACCAAATTCGTTGTATAGCACTGCAGAATGTCAGTGCTGCAAGGTCACCTGGGTGACAAAAAGGCTCCTCTGATTTATAGACCCTCAGACTCTATGAAACAGAGACCCAGAATGTGGAGTGATGTGCCCCGTGTCACAGAGTGATCCAGTAGCAGATTTGGGACTTGAAGCCGGAATCTTGGTCTAATATCCTTTAATGATACTGTTTGGCTTCTAATCAGTTTTGGAGAATAGACCAGACTGCCTCAGGGCAAGCAATACTGTAAACCTTTACTGGGAGGTCACAGAATGCTGTGGAAGCAAAAAACCTGGCTTCTGGTCCCACTTGATCCCTTATTAGCTATGTGATCTTGAAAGTCACTTAACATCTCCGAGCCTTGGTTAATTTATCTTCTAGAAGAGTGCTGTCTAGGAGAAATATAATGTGAGCCGTATTGCAAAAAGTAAAAAGAAAAAGGTGAATTAATTTTAATAATTTATTTTACTTAACCCAGTATATCCAAAATATTATTTCAATATGTAATCAGTATGAAACTTATTAATGAGGCACACTCCTTTTGGGTGTTTTTGCACTACGTCTTTACAATCCATTGTGCTTTGTTTGTCTTCAACATGTCTCATTTGGACTAGCCACATTTCAAGTGTTCAGTAGCCCCATGTGTGTGCCATGTGCTTACTGTGCGGTGTAGGACCTCGGAATGTTAGGGTTGGGAAAGTGCTTAGAAATCATCCAAGGAGTCACAAACTGTAGATTTATAAGCCAAATTATGGTCTATGGCCCCATTTTGTTTGACTTCCAGTTAAACATTTGTTGAATGTGAATGCCTTTTGGACAAGCATGTGCCCTCTGGTTTGCTGCCGTCACCCACAAGTCTCTCCTGTTAACAGTGTCATCAGTTATATCGTCTGCCCTTCTTGACCAACCGCCCTCCCCTCCAGTCTTCAGCTGGTGAAACTAAGGCTTGGAGAGGAAGTGGTTTGTCCAAGGTCAGTAGCTAGTTAGTAGATCCAAGAATAGAAGCCAGAACCGCTTGACTCTGAAATGGTTCTTTTTCTATTAAATCACAGTGTCAGTCGTATTCCTGCTTATATCACAGGATTATTGTGAGGTTCAAATGAGCTTAAATGCTATGTGGATGTGATATGATAACATTATATTTTCTTCTGGACAGATCATGTAGTGAAATCATCTTATGTTTATAAAGTTTAAGCTTTAAACAATTTATCTTTTAACCTGTTATTTAAAAAAGCTAATATATATTTTTCCTAACAAAAGGTAATGCAAGCGTTTATTTTAAAAATGTAGAAAATAGAGAAACTTATGCCTTGCACGTGGTAGATGTTGAACAAATATTTGGCTGAATGAATTAATGAAAAAAATTCACATTCCTATTCCTTGACAAACAGCTAAGACCATTTGGCCTTTTTTCCTATTTAAAGAATTTTTAAAAATCTTGTGTATAATTATGCTATACATGAATTTGGTATCTTGTTTTGCTCTATTCAACATTGTAGGATTAAGAGTAATACAACTTCTTTTAACCACTTTTTTTTTTTCAAACAGGTTATTTTCCATCATTTTGGACTAATGTTCCTTCACCTCTTTTGTCCCCCTTTTGTTTGTTTAAGATGCAGGAGAGCTGTTTGTTTGGGGAAGCAACAAGCATGGGCAACTGGCTTCCCATGCTGCTTTCCTTCCTGTGCCCCAGAAGATAGAAGCACATTGTTTTCAGAATGAAAAGATCGCTGCTGTCTGGAATGGGTGGACACACCTGGTTGCTCAGACAGGTGAGAGTGGCAGAGAGTTTGTGGTTGGGAAGAGCAGCTGGGGGATAGCTGTCTAAGTAGCTATGAATGCTTGGGATTAGGTAGTTTGGTTTTTACTGATGAAAAGATTTAAGGGTTGGGAAGGGAAGGACCTGGGGTCTAGTTCTGCAATCAGCCAGATATGTGGCTTTTCCTCTCTGGATCACAGGTTTACACGCAAAAAGGCAAAGCTGGCTTAGGTTAACTCCTTCTGGCCCTAAGAGTCCATGAGGTTTTGTGAAGGAACCCACTGCAACAAACATCACCTAGAAATTTGTCCAGGTTGTTGGGGAGTCTTTGCCTTGTCATAGCTAAAGGGATGACTGTATTTGCATTTTCACTTGAGTCTAAATTAAAGGTGTCAGAAACTATTAAGTTAAATATTTTAAGATTGAGGCAAAAGCATTACTTTGAGTCATGGCTGGCATGGTATTTTGATTTAAATTTTTATTAACCCTAACAAACTTTGTACATTGATTCAAGCATCCCACATATTCCTTCAGATGTTACCTTACCAGGCCATGCCATGCCATCCAGCTTTTGGCATCTTTATCTTTTCTTGATAATATCTTCATTGATTTCTCATCTTAGGGCAGTTCTCCTTGCCTGATCTTCATATTCCTGACACTGTTCTCGGGGTTTGTTTTTTCATGGCCTCCCTTCTTCCCAGCCTTCCTAGAGCTCTTGCTGACTGACACAGTTTCCCAGACCAGCAGTTTGTAATTCTTAAGAACCATTATCGTGTCAAGGCCTTCGGAACTTCAGGGGTTCTCAGGAGTCCTCTTGCCTGCTCTTGGCCTGCTCGTTAGTGACACACAGATCTGTAGACTTTCAAATACCTGGTGACTTAATCCAATACTTTTGTAGGTTTTCAGGTCAGCTTCAGTTATCCTGGGTAAGTCACACATACTACACGTTTGAACACATAGACTTATGAGTATTTATATCCATGGTGCTTTTAATTGGTTCTTAAAATTTTTTTAAGATTGTTTTGGTACAGAGGCCTATATGACAAAGGTGTATAATAAACTTTCCATATTTACCGCTTCAGAGGATGGTCTAATTATGCCATTCATTTGGAGGAAAATCATGACTTTCCTCAAAGAAGTCCAGACTGCTTGAAGATTGGGACCATCGACAGAAATTTTTCTTAAAGAGACCCTGAGCATAATAGCCGCTTATTTGTATAATTGTTACTCTCTCTCTTCTCCTCCAGACAGTGAGCTCTGTGATAGGAGGCACCATATTCATCTTGCTCACGTCTGTATCTCCAGTGCCTAGCAGAGAAAGTATTCATTGCCTACATTAAACTGTTTCTAGTTAAAAGAGACTAAACATATTCAAATGCATAGGAGGCAGGGTAGACTGCGAGGATTTCTTCTTTCCTTGGACTCGCTGTTCCATGATCAGAAGGCTTCAGTTTGTCTCTTTGGATTCAAGAGTCCAACCAAATCGGTTCTTGTTTATTGTGAACCTTTTGAGCAGTGTGCTAAGCCTTGAAGAAATAGAAAAGATGTGGGCCGTGCCCTCTCACTGCAATGTGTGGACAGGCTTAAGTCTAAGAGTACAGAAACAGAAGACTTTATCATCCATCTGTCCATCATACAGATGGTGAGGATCTGTTTATGTACCATGCCTTGTACTAGATCCTAATCCTGCCCTCAAGGAGCCCACTGTCACTAGGGGAGACAGACCTGTTATCAGATTTCAGTGCAGCAGTGGAGCTAAGTCAGTGTGCAGGAATGGCACAGACACTAGCAGTAGTCTGAGTCACTGGGTGTTAACAGGTAGGCGTTTCATGCTTAGTCAGTCTTCAAAGAATTGCAGTGCAGTAAAATACACTTACTACCAAACCATAGTGGGTTTAGTTGAGTCTGTCAGTAAATCCGTTAACTGGTTAGGCAGCTGACTAATGAAAGACATAAAGATGTTGCTGCTTTGACTCTAGCTTTGCAGCACTGTAACTCATGCTGATTTCCACGTCTGGGCCAACAGCCCAGCACTCAGGGTGGGAGGTTGGAACCTATGTCCCTGACACTGTCTGAGTCACTCCAGCTGCTCTGGGGCTCAGCTTCAGGTCTCCACCTCCACTTGGGAGCGTGATCTTTGGGTAATGTTTCAGCTGTTTAATTAACTTGTTAATTCAGATCTCTTGTTTATGCACTTTGTTATTTTCCCCTTTCTCCTGAGTCCAGAGTGGTTAAAAGCTGGGATGTTTGAGCATCCTGGCTGTTGCGCTGAGTTTTGGGTAGAAGAGAGTCTCCTGCTGTTTGGTTCACCAGTTTTGCCCTCCTCCTAGTAGCTGTGGAAGCCTTTGCCCTGGCGCGGTGTCATTGAGAAGAAACAGCCAGGGCTTCCAGTTTAATCAGACCCAGTTGCTCATTTTAATGGGAACAAGATTTGCTCACAGGGTCAAATCAGCTCATTACTGGGCCAAGGAGTTATTTGACTCTAGTTGTTTTCATAAGCTCCAGTGGAGAGTTGTTCCTGGGACCTACCCGCAGCCACATCAGCACAGAGGCTGCCCCCAGTCTCGTTCTGGAAGACATTAGGGGTGTATTATTGATTAAAAACAGCTTATGTGCAGTGACCATAGATGCGTCCAGTAAGGTGGGCTGGGCTGGGCTGGGTTAGGATGGAGACGGGGAGTAGACTGTGCTTTCTCCCTTCTCATAATCCCTACACCAACTTTGTTCCTTGGAGGATGTTTGCAGTGTCTGGAGCCATATTTGGTTGTCACAACTGGGGGTGGGCGTGCTACTGGCATCTAGTTGGTAGAGGCCAGGGATGCTGCTAAATGTCCTACAATGCAAGGGCAGCCCCCCCAGCCCGACACAGAAATACCCAGCCCTAAATGTTAGTGGTACCATGATCAAGAAATGCTGCCCAAGACTGCCATCCCCAGTGGTAGGTGCTTAGCGAGGGCAGTTCACATGATATCAAGATTACTTTAGTTCGTCTATGTGGGAATCTGGGATGCAGTCTCTGTCCTCCCTCTTCAGGAGTCTGGTGCCTACCTGCAGTGCTTGTGATGGAAAAATACTTTTCTCCATTAGAGGCACTTGGAAAGAGTCCAAGAGAACCTGTTCTAATCTGGGAAAGCTGGCAAGGTACCTGTGTCTCAGACTGGTGGAGCTGCATTCAAGAAGCCTTTCCCAAGCTGCTTAATGTCCCCAGTCATTGTTCTCGGGAGCTTCATGGGACTCCTGTGTGACTTTATCCAGGCTCGGTGACCTGCAGCTGCCTCCTCTGAGATTCATGAGTTCCTGGCCCAAAGTGATTCTAGTGAGAACTGGGTGGTGGATCTGTGTGCCTTCTTAGTTGGGTGACCTTAGTTGAGTCACTTCACCTGTCTAGGCCTCAATTTCCTCCTCTCTCACGCAGGGTATTAAAACCTACCTCCATTATACAGACAGCTGCTGTGAGTTTCAAATGAATGAATCTGTGTGAAAGATCCTAACTAACTGTAAAATGCTGTACATACCTGTACAGGGGGTGCCCGTGCTTGGGATGTGTGAGTACATTAAGGAGTTAGCAGTTGCTTTTAGAAAGGCTTCTATTTCATCAGGGTCTGTGCAGGGCTTGAGACACACCAGCTTCTCCCCTCAGGGCTCATGAACTGGCCAGGTCTGACAGGCAAAGTTTCCTGAGGTCTTTCACTTACATGCAGCCAGCACGTAGCTCTTTTATATTATCAGTATAAGATCATCATGGCCTTACAGGTAATTTTTCCTGTTAAAATCTCTGATCACACTATTCTCCCTTCAGTGGATTGTATACATACTACGAAACTGTATTCTTCCTACAAAATGGACTGTATACATCCATTTGCATTCTTATTTGTTTAATGTCTAGACTGTAAACTCCCTGAGAGCAGTGTCTGTTTTGTTCACGGCTGTATCCCCAGCACTTGGCACAGGCCCGGCGCATAGTAGATGATTAGTAACTAATTGCTGAACGAATGAATAGATGGCAAGGCAGAGAGAAGCGTGGCTTTGAAGTCAGACAGGCCGAGGTGTGACTCAGCTCTGCCAGCCTCCTGATTGTGCCAGTTCCTCTCCATCACCACCGTGGTGCAGGCCACTGTCACCTTCTTGCTGGATCCTGCAGTGGCCTCTGCCTGGTGTCCTCAGCTTCCCACATCGCTCCCTCTCCCCCCAGTCTGTTCTCCATGCCTCAGTTGAAAGATCTTTTCAAACCCATGTGTCACATTCCAGTGGCTTCCCATTGCTCTTATGATAAAGACATAGTCCTTAGTGGTCACCAGGCCCTGCGTGGTCTGCCCTGTGCCTGCCTTTCCAGCCCTGTTTCTAGCTGAGCTAGCTCTTGATCTCTGGCTGACCTCTACTCTGGCCTTGGTACCTGGAATGGATCCTGGATTTCCCACCATAGTGCTTTTGCAGCTGATGTTCCCTCTATTTGCCACACTTACCCTGCTCTCCTTCTTCATTTTGACTTAGTTACGTCCTTTTTTTGTTTTCCCCTAGACCTCAACTTAGTCATCACCTCCTCAGGGAGGCCTTCCCTTGACATCCCTGACTCATCACTTTTCCCTTTTATCTCTTAGGGCACTACAGCCTCTCCTTTGCGCTATTTTCTTTTTTAAAAAATTAATTATTTATTTTTGGCTGCCTTGGGTCTTCGTTGCTGCGCACGGGCTTTCTCTAGTCGCAGCGAGCGGGGGCTACTTTTTGTTGCGGTGCGTGGCCTTCTCATTGTGGTGGCTTCTCTTGTTGTGGAGCACGGGCTCTAGGTGCACAGGCTTCAGTAGTTGCGGCTCGCGGGCTCTAGAGAGCAGGCTCAGTAGTTGTGGCGCACGGGCTTAGTTGCTCTGTGGCACATGGGATCTTCCTGGACCAGGGCTCGAACCTGTGTCCCCTGCATTGGCAGGCGGATTCTTTTTTTTTTTTAAACACATTACTTCTTCTTTTTTTTTTTTTTTTAAATTTATTTTTGGCTGCGTTGGGTCTTAGTTGCCGAGT